AATTACGAGTGAAATCCAACGAATCAAACGTCTGTTCCGAAGAAGTTCTGGGAAGACAATAACTGGAGACATCAAACGTGGCTAACGTTGGGGTCGACTCTTCTTCCGCTTGTTTCTCGAAATTTCCCGGATTTGAGAAGAAGTCGCGAAGTCGTGGCAATTCTTGACCCCTTTCGAGGAGTTCCACATGGAATTCAAGTGCAGTCAACAAAAGGCCGTCTTTAAGCAATTTGTGGGCAATTTTGTCCAGCGATACGATATCTGCATTTGAATTGTGTTCCACTTCTGCCATCATTTAAATGCATTCATGTGTTTGTTTTGAACATTATATCAGTTGTGATACACATTAACCGAGACTTCAATTCTGCGCGCTATCCACCAGTCATTGAGTTTGTCTGTCAAATGTTTCTGTTCAGTGACAATACATTACAGTATTATTTATATTAATTTTTTAAAAACCTGTTTTATGTCAAATATATGCTATAATTTCTAAAATCAATTACAAATTCAATGCATTTCTTTCTGCATTTCGATTTATAAATCGACATTCATTTGGAAAAATTCAAGAATAAATAAAAATGTCTCTCAAATCATCGAAACCGCAAATAGGAGTTATTGGTGCCGGAGTTGTGGGTCTCTCTACGGCCCTATCCATCCAACAGACCATTCCGTCGGTTGATGTGACGATAATCGCCGATAAATTTATGACCGAAACTCTTAGCTATGGAGCGGGAGGTCTGTTCAGACCAGAGGTGAACATCGCACCGACGGTGGAAGTGGCGCACGAATGGACCAAAACAAGTTACGACCACTACATCAATCTCTGCGCTTCCAGTGATGCCAACGCCAGTGGTATGCAATTGGTCTCAGGTTTTCACATGAGTTCCTACTCCAGAGAAAGTCTTAACAATCAATTGCTGTCTAAAATCATTCCTAATATTAGAGAATTCAATGAAACCGAAAGTAATCTCTTTCCGAGTCGTTTCAAATACGGAATATTCTGGACGTCTATCATAACTGATCCGCGCTATTATCTGCCATACCTGACCAATCAATTGACACAAAATGGAGCCAGATTTGTGAGCAGACATGTGGAGGATTTGTCACAACTGGCAGACAATTATGACATAGTAGTCAACTGCAGCGGTTTAAACGCCAAGACTCTCGTCAATGACTGGAAGATGATTCCAGTGAGGGGTCAGGCAATCAAAGTGAAGGCGCCGTGGATCAAGCACTTCTACTTCGCTGATGAGGCGTATGTCATCCCCGGCAGAGATTATGTCACTTTGGGAGGTATTAAACAATACGGCAATTCAGACCTCAATCTCAATCCATTGGACAAAGAATCCATTTGGCAGAGGGTTACAGAAGTGGTGCCCAGTCTTCAAAACGCTGAGGTAGTCATGGAATGGGTTGGACTTCGACCCAACAGACAACCCGTTAGAGTGGAATCGCAAATAATAGCCAACACCAGAAGAAATCATACAAACAATGGCTTAAAAGTGGTTCATAACTACGGACACGGAGGCCATGGAATCACTTATTCGTGGGGAACAGCAAAACATGCCACAGAATTGGTTCAATCATTACTATTAAGCGATTCCTCCAAACAATTGTCTAAACTTTGAATTTATTATTTTCAATTTAAATTCTAAAGATATCAATTAAAATTGTAAAATCTAAATAATAAAAATCAAAAAGTTATTCATAATTCCTATGCAATCAATTTTGGGCTTATAATGGACTTTGGTATAACTTATACTACTGTATATCTACAGTACATAGGATTTTAATGTATTACAGTAAAACATAAGACAATTTTATATCAATAAATTATCGACAATAATTCTTAATATAATACTAACCATGACACTTTAATTATTATAACAACTACACTCAGTTATATCTAATTATAAGATATAATCATATCTCTCAGTAAATATTTGTTGCTATTTTCTAATACAGTACAGGATATGAATTATATTAAGAAACAGTTATCAAAAGTATTGAATTCAATAATTCAAGTGCATTTGTGATTGTTTAGCCCTTTACTCCAAAACGTCAATGTTTGCTAAATACAGTAAATAAAACCACGAAAACTAAAACTGTTTCTATGAGTAGTGATAACATTAGATAACTTTTTAAAAATTAAACATTTTATGACCGCTTAAGAGCTGAAATCTAAGATTTGAAATTTAATTTAAGAAATGAAATTTAAGATATTTCGCGATTGCAATGAAAACATCCACAAAGTGTTTTAGTTTGAAATGAATATACATTTTCTAAACGTTTGGATAAGTTATTCAAAGCCTTGAGAATATGCGCGACAAACAAGATCTGTGTATATATTTTAGTGGCAAACCAAATGTCATTCAAAACATCTTATTTTTATCGTTGAAAAAAATTTGGCGTTATATCAGGGGTTATGTCACACTAACTTATACAGTATTGAGTCTGAGAAAATAATTTTATTAATTAAAAAACTAAAAATAAATATACATTGATTAAAATAAACAATTTATTAACGATCAAAAAACAATATAAGAATATTTTTCACCATATTATTCCACAAAATATTAAGTAACTTATATTAACTATATTAAAGTTAAGACAAAAACAAATTAATGGTAAATATTTATCAAATCGATTGAAGCAAAGTTTGTATACAATGTAAGAAATTCTTTGTTTAAGTATTCAATAAAACAAAACTTTTTGTAGTTTTATTACAAACTTATAAAAACTTTACTACAAATTATGGGTTAGTATTGCTTTCCAACAGAATATATCTCTGTATTACAGGAAGACTTTGATCGATAAATCTTTGCATTAAAATGGTTTTGGGATCCGATTGAGAGAGTGAACCACAAATGACAGCAATTTTGACCAAATCTGTCAAATCAGTCACTCCTAGCTTATCAATGATTACTTGAATTTCTTCAAGATAAATCTTTGCATTAAAATGGTTTTGGGATCCGATTGAGAGAGTGAACCACAAATGACAGCAATTTTGACCAAATCTGTCAAATCAGTCACTCCTAGCTTATCAATGATTACTTGAATTTCTTCAGCAATTTGTCGTTTCCTCTCAAACGGCAATTCATTGAGTATTTGTGCGATTGGTTTGAAAGTGCCTTTTGTGACAAAAGCGGCCAAAACTCCTCCGGAGGCGCCTCCGACCGCCAGACCTACGGGTCCGCCTAATAGGCCGCCCACCATAGAACAGGTGCCCGTAATCATAGCCCCCTTAAGGGACTGATAGGCCGTCACCTGTATCTGTCTTTCGCCCATTACATC